CATGGGGACACCCAGGAGGAGCATGGGGACCTGCAGGAGGAATACAGGGACCTGCAGGAGGAACATGGGGACTTGCAAGAGGAACATGGGGACACCCAGGAGGAGCATGGGGACCTGAAGGAGGAGTACAGGGACCTACAGGAGGAGCATGGGGACCTGCAGGAGGAACACGGGGACCTGCAGGAGGAACATGGGGACACCCAGGAGGAGCATGGGGACCTGCAGGAGGAATACAGGGACCTGCAGGAGGAACATGGGGACACCCAGGAAGAGCATGGGGACCTGAAGGAGGAGTATGGGGACACCCAGGAGGAACATAGGGACCTGCAGGAGGAACACAGGGACTTGCAGGAAGAACACGGGGACCTGCAGGAGGAACATAGGGACCTGCAGGAGGGGTCTGGAGACCCTCAGGAGGAACCTGGGGAACCTTGGGTGCAGCATGGGGAACAGGGCTCTGCAGAGGATGGGCTGGAGCAGGAGATGGTGTTGCAGCCAGGAGAGGGGGCATGGGGCAGGGAAGAAAATGACATTGACCAAAAGCAGCAAGCACAGGACTGGGAAGAGACAGCGGAGGATGAAGAGGAGATAGAAGTCAAAGCTCTCACATCCCAAGAGCCAGCCCAGGTGGATGACAACCCACATGCAGAGGCAGCAGAAAATGAGGAGGGAGATGTCACGTCACCAACAGCAACGGAGGAAGCTCACGAGGGTGAGGATGACGGAGATGCTGGGAGCGAGGTGAAAAGCCAGCAGCAGCCACAGGGAATAGTAGGACAGGAGGCTGAGCCAGCCCCAGGGCAAGAGGAAATCAGGTATGGGGACACTGGGGAGGCACCAGGGGACCCACAGGAGCCAGCTGAGGCGCTGGAGGTGCAGGATGAGGAGCTTAGCTCGGAGCCCATTGAGAGAGGCAGCCCAGACACTGCAGTGCTGCAGCAGGATCTGGGCAGTGGGGCAGAGAGTGATGAGCCCATGAAGGAGGACATTCAGTCAGAGGATGCTCAGTTGGATGAGCCCAAGCTGTGCAGGATGGAATTAGAGGACACGCTGCTCAACAGCATGCCGCTATGTGCACACAGCGGGGAGGTGCTGGAGTCTGATCCAAACCCTCCATCCAGTGGAGGGGATGGGGAAACAGAACCTGAAATGGCTCTGGAGGAGGAAGGGGAGCTGAGAGGGAGTGATGAGGCAGCGGTTCATGCAGAGCCAGAGAGCTGTGAGGAGTCAGGGATGGAGCTGAGCTCTGCGCCAGAATGCACCGAGGAGGAGGAAGGGTACTTCATAGTTTCTGCTCCCAACCAAGAGGAGTCCAGCATCGAGGAAGCTGAGAACTCAGAGGAATTTGAAGAAATTAAAGTTGAAGCAGCAGAAGACAGAAAGGATGAACTAACAGTGCCTGCAGAAGCCTCTCCGGTGCTGGAGGATGAAGGGCACTTGGAGCCACTTGTGGGGGAAGCTGAAGGTGTGAAAATGCCCATGGGAGAACTGGAGATACCAAAGGAGGAGGATGAGGAGGATGCAGGGCATTTGGCTGCTGAGCTGGAGGAAGGACTGGCTGTGTCCATGGATGAGGGGCTGTCTGAGGGGCACACTGATAAGACCATCCTGGGTGATGAGGGCCTCGGGGAGGAGGACGTGCAGGGTAGTGACAACTCCCCAGCCCCTGAGACCTCCAACACTGACCCCTCCAACGCTGACCCACCTCCAGGCACCATGCTGGAGCACGGATCTGGCATGGAGGCAGCTGAATATCTCCCCGATGTGCCCACACAGATGCCAGTGGACATCATGAAGGACTCGGATATCCTGGAAATAGTGGAGCAGGCCCTGGAGTTCAATCAGGAGCTGGTACTGGGAGCCAAGCTAGCCAAGGATGGGGAGGGGGATGGTGACACACAGCTCCCACAGGAGGAGGAAGGGGGGTCCTCACCCACTTCATCCAGTGATGAACAGCCAACGGTGCAGGAGGCGGTGGCAGAGCCGGAGCGCACCAAGAACGGGGAGCAGAACGGGCTGCACCGGCAGGCCAGCCTGGAGGACCTGGCTGAGTTCACTGAGGAGGGGCTGAATGGCATCACCCACCCCGAGGAAGCCCCTGCTGCCCACACCCTGCCCCTGCCCAGCAAGCACAGTGGGGCTGAGCCTGTCCCTCCGCTGTCTCCGCTGCAGGACCAAGTCCTGCACCCAGAGCAGGAGCCCTGGTCCTCTGGGGAGGAGTGATGGCGGTGGGACCCCCACAGCCCCACGACAATCGGACACCTCCCATAGCACTGCCTACGTAGCACACCCGTTTCCCTTTGGTTTGTAACATGTTTTGTGTGGGTTTTGCCTTGTTGAACGGATGTCCGGCACACGGCAACGCAGCTGAGTGAGGGGCCGCATCTTCACACCTCAGAGCAAGGAACCGAGCTCTTTCTCTGCCTCCAGATCCCACACTTGTGCTGGTTTCAGCCTCATTTTGTACCCCAGGTATTTAATTTAAAGGCTGCGTCTCCCCCTTCCCCATTCAGCCCAGCCAGGTGCACGCAGTGTGATTTCCATACAGGCTCACCTTTGTGCTGCACACTGGGATGTCCATCCCCAACCCACCCAATGCTCACAGCGCCGAGCCACGCCGGATGCATCCGCTGCATTGACACTAAGTTAATAAAGCATCGCCCTCCCACTCTGACCTGCCGTATCCCTGCTCTCATTCCTGTGGACGGGGGGAGATGGATGGGGGAACCCATGGTTTTCGGGCATGTGGGGGTGCGGGGAGGATGTGGTGGTGTTGAGGCTGCTTATCCCTATCCTCCGCCCTAGGGATGCTGCTGGGCACAGTGTTGCATGGAGCAGGGGGACGGGTGCCAGCCCACCCCGACCCCATGCCAACACATTCAACAGTGAGACAGCAGAAAGCAGCTGCTATTGCTGCCTGAGCCGGGCACGCTGCCCACGAGGCTGCCCAGTACCCAAGCATCCCAACCCAGCCAAGGCACGTTGCTCCGGCCCCGATGGATGACACATCACCTCCTCTCCATGTGGCACCCAGAGGGGGTCTGAGAGGGGTGGGCAGTGGGGGTGGGTGCCAAACTGATCCCCGGACGGCGCGGCTCAATGCCTCTTTTGTGCGTTGGGCAAGAAGGAACGCGCCGACGGCCAGAGAATGGGTGCCCTTATGTGGGCAAAGGGCTGAGTCACGGTGGGCAGGGGATGAGGGGAACCGGGTGGCATTGGCATGCAGCAATCAGCGCTGTGCTGCTCACCCACACGCTGGGTTCAGCCCTCCGTGCCCCTGCCAGCACCGCGTGGAGCCAGGCTGCGATAAGGACCCTGCGTTTATCTGCCTTCGCTGCACAAAGCCCCCGACCCCCTCCCCTGCCCACAGGCGATGGTTTCCTTTTAAGGACAAACTCGAACGAAGCGATACCATAAAAAAAAAATAAAAATAAAAAATCCCCTCCGATTAGTTTAATCAGGCACTGAGCCTGTGTTCAATCAGCCCCTGGCCCACAGCCGGCCCTGCGGAGAGGCCTGGGCAGCATCACCCGATGGCGGCTCGGTGATCCGTGGCGCTTCCCCCCCCCCCCTCCATCCCCAAAAGCTGTGGGGATGCTGTGGGGTGGGGGAGGTGAAGTGCCGGGCGATGCAGGGGGCGGCATTCCTCCCAAAATTAATACGCATTCCAGTCGGCCCAGTGCTGACAAAGAGACGAGGGGGGACAGATGGTGGGGGCAGCTCCCTCCTCACCCTGAGGAGGAGGAGGAGGAAGGGTCAAGGGCTGGGGGTCACTAGAGGGGTGGAGATGTGTGGCTGCGGGGCACTTGGATGAAAGCAAAGCCCAGCCATGCCTGACCGGAGATAGCATAAAGTGCAAGAGTGGATGTCCCCAAATGGGACATGAGTGCCCCCAAAAGGGGCTACCCCATTTCTAGGATACCAACCCCATGGGGATCCCCATCTGCACACCCATCGCCCCAGGGCGGGGATCACCCCATGCCCATCACCCGTGGGAGCACATATGCACTCTGCCAGCCAAAAGTCACTGGAGCAAAGCAGAGGCCGCCACCCGCCTCTTTAAATCCAACCAGCCGAGCACATCTAATCTAATCTGGGGGGCAATGGGGCTTTTGGGGGTGGGGAGGGAGGTTGGCTGTTCAGGCCTGACCCCTGAAAACTGCTCACACACCGTAAAGGACTGAGCAGCACATGCAAGGGCTGGTGGGCACAGCATGGGCACAGCATGGGCCACTGTGCTGGCAAAGTGGATGCTTTAAGAGTCTCGAAGACCCCCTCAGCCTGGCCCCCTGCCAGACAGTTACGGGTTTTGTTTCCTTTAAGGCTGGGCAGAGAGGGAGTTTTCAATGGAGCCCACACAAAACCTCCCTGTGGGATGAGCCCAGCACCAGGAGGGGGGGGGGGGGTGGGGGGGGGGGGGAAAGTGAGACAGGATGACCTCAGCGATGACTTCACTGTGTTCACAGTTCCCAAAAAAATCGCAGAAACCTTATAAGGAAAGGACTAAAAATACACTCGGAGGGGTGCAGGCAGCCCCCACTCCTCCTCCCCAAAATGGAGCCCTCATGGATGCTCCATGCAGGCAAATAGGAGACACATGGGGGATGCATGGAGGGGACAATCGATGGGGGCACGATGGACTTGCAGAGAGAGGCAGGCTGGTCCCCAATATGATGCCATGGGTTGGGCAGCAAGTTCCCCCAGCCTGGCATCATCCCCCCTTGCCGGGACCACTCCATCTGTCCCTTCTCAGCACCCAGGGACGTGCTACCAAGACGCCTCCACCACCTCCTCCCTACCTTTCAGTGGGGTCATGCGCTGCCAGGAATAGCTTCTGCTGGCTATAATAAGTGCTGCCCTGGTGTCAGGGGCTCACCCAGCTGCTGGGCCATGACCCCCCGACAGCTGCTGCCAAATCGGGGTGACGTGGATGCCTGTGGCCAAGCCCAGGGCAGGAATGTGCGCCTGGAGCCATCCATCAGTGCTACAAAGCATCCCCAGCCTCAGCTCCAGGGTGATGCAAGCCCTGGGGCCACGCATCCCCATCCCCTGGTCCTGTGATCCCGGCTCAAAGAAGAACTCACATGCCTATCCCCGTGCCTTTCTCTCCCCAAAACTCTCCGATGTGCAAAAATGGCACGGTGAGAAGGACGGTGCCCATCGACCCCGCTGCTTATCACCACTCCAAACGCCGCTTCCGCCTGCCTGCAATCAACTTGGCACCAGAACAACCCATGCAGGATGTGGCATGCAGCCTGTGCCCTGTCATTAGCGGGAGCGAGGGAGGAGGTGTGGAGCAGGAGCGGGATGGGACAAGGGCTGTGGTGAAGTAGCAGACACGTGAGTGCTGGTGCTGTGCCTCAGTTTCCCTCATCCAGCTACCTCAGGATAGCCATGGGGGCTTTAGTGCACCTGGAGCTGACTCACACCCGGAGGAAACGCTGACAAAGCAGCTCCTTCCTCACTGGGGACCGGCATGCAGGTGGCACGGGACAAACAGGGCTCTTCAGGTGGCCAGAGCCGAACCTGGGGCCAACCTTCCTTTGGCCAGATCTCGCAGACACAAAGCTGATGCCCACTGCAGCTTGGGCCATGGGTCAGAGCGGCAGACTTTGGCAGGGGTCATGCTGCTTGGGACAGGATGTGACTGCATCAGCCCTGAGTCACCACAAGCAGCTGACGGAGGAGAAGTGGCCCCGTGAAGGTCCCACAGCTCCAAGTCCCAAATAGCTCCCTCTGCATCCCTCATCTTGGGACAACGTCCCCAGTTTGGGGGCCACATCCCACCTCTGCTTTGAAGACCACATGCCCGCTTAGGGCATTGCATCCCTTGTGCAGCTTCTTGCTGTCAATCAGCCGCAGCATCGCTCAGGAATTCAGCGTAAATCATCCCCCTCCCCCTTATTTCGGGCAGGTGGGCCAGGGGTCGCTGAAACCCCAGCACAGTGACAACTGCCCGCTGGGTTTGGATTTCACAGCAGAGGGGCTGGTTGGGGATTAACGGCCCATGGGGACAGCAGCGGCATGCCCGACCCCTCGGCTCGCCCGGAGGCTGCTGCTGCTTTCCCAAACATGGCCAGGGGCTCGGGGAGCCGCTGACTGGGCAGGTGGAACTGCCCCAGCCCCGGGCTGTGGCACCCGGGCACGCTGTCGTCCCCCCCCCCTCCGGGCTCACGCCTGCATGGGGAGGAAATGCCTTTCCCCTGAGCGAGTCCCGGCGCTGAGAAGCGGGGAAGGAACTGGTCCACGTCCCCGTTGTGCTGCAGGTGATGGAGCGGCTCCCACTACGGGTAGGGGCTGCAGCGATGGGGTCTGCGCAGCCCTACCGGTGTGCTGCTACGGAGAAAACGATGCCGTCGGTGCTCCCCCTCCTGAAAGCAATGGGACAGGACCGTATGTGTGTGCGGGGGACAGACGGACTTACAGACGGACAAACCCTCGCTCAGCGTGCTCTCAACCTCCAGCACCCGCTACCACCCTCAGCCACGAGCGCCCCCTATGGGCACCACCTCATCTCCCCCCCCCCCCAAAAAAAAAAATCCTACAAAACCAACAACTTCTATTCGGGGA